CCCAGACTGTGAGGGCAATATGCTGACTCTGTAAACCGCTTAGAGAGGGCTGAAAGCCCTATGAAGTGGTATATAAGTCTAACTGCTATTGCTATTGCTAATATGCTGACACTGTAAACTGCTTAGAGAGGGCTGTAAAGCACTGTGAAGTGGTATATAAGTCTAAGTGCTAATGCTATTCCTATTAGAGCCATGGTGGCACAGTGGTTAGAACCAGTGGTGGGTTCCTACCAGTTCGGACCAGTTTGGCCGAACCGGTAGTGGTTTGGCGGCCTGGGTCGCTGGAACCGGCAGCAACCCAGGCTTTCCATGCCCCCGGACCACTTCTCCAGGCGTTGCCTACAGCACCGCCATCTTGTTTTTAGCTTCTGCGCATGCGCAGAACAATCTCTATTTGTACCAGAGCAAACCAGCAGTAGTGCCTGTTGGAACCCACTCCTGGTTAGAATGCAGTACTACAGGCTACTTTTGTTGACTGCTGGCTGCCAGAAGTTTGGCAGATCGAATCCCACCAGGCTCAAGGTTGACTCAGCCTCCCATCCTTCCAAGATGGGTAAAATGAGGACCCAGATTGTTGGGGGCAAGAGGCTGACTGTAAACCACTTAGAGCAGGCTGTAAAGCACTATAAAGTGGTATATGTCTAAGTGCTATTGCTATTGCTATTATTTTTAGCAAATAAATCATCGTTATTGGACAGGAGAAGGTATTCTAAGCCAGTTTCCAGAACTGGAGGGGTTTTATAGATCAGAGTTTATCTGGATTTTACAGTTTAAAGGACTCACTTGAAAATGCCTTGAAAACCTGGGGATATCCGACATGAAAACAACCTTAATATATTTAAAGAAATTTTGAACCAGAACCATGAGGAAAAAATTTCTCTGAAGGACAGCTACATTGAAGATTTTTGTGAGATTTTTGTAACAGAGGCTGTAATTTTCTCATTTGATTTTACAACATCTAAACTTTAATCCAGTGAACCCTCCAGAAAAGGGCAGCGTGCTGCTTCTTGCTCTGAATCTCTGAACTGCATGGTGTCAGGCCTGGAAGCCATCTTTTGCATTGGGCCTTCTGGCCTGCCATATTTACTGCTGTGGGAAAATGGGAGGGGGAAATATATGGAGTATGGGAGAGATATATAGTCTAAATAACATTCCTTTCTCAGAGAGTCAAGGACATCTTGCCCTGCACCTGGAGTGGTGTGACTGGGAGGCATCTCCAGTTTTGGATGGCGCCTGATTGGATCATGTGATGGACATGTGGATGCTGGGCAGGGACGTGAACTTTATTTTGTGTGGGGAAACCTGGAAACTTTCAGATTTGGGTTTTCCCAGATGTGCCAATATGACATCTCTAATAAAATGGAACTTTGAGGAACTTCAAGCCTTGGAGTCTTCTTTCGTTGGGGGTGTTACTCGGAACCTTGACACATGGTTTCCAATCAAAGGTTGCAAAAATTAACCAGGTGTCCAGA